ATCATATGCAGACGATACTGTTTTAGTTTGCACTGTCGTTCATGGGATGACGCAATACGGAATGCCGAGTTGTCATTAAATAAAGTCAAATGCTGGTTGGATAACAATTTACTTAAACTTAATATCTCTAAAACTTAGTATGTAACGTTTTCTCCAACCAAAGTAGGCATGCCATTACACCACCGAACATTAATTATAAATGATAGCGCTGACACTGTCGAAAGAGTTGAAGTTATTGGATACTTAGGAATCACTGTTAACAGTAATTTGAAATGGCAGAGTCATGCCGAGCTTTTGGCATCGAAATTAAGGAGAATTATTCATAAGTTTTTCATTCTTAGGAATATTTTAAGCAGAAGGAGTCTTCTCTCAATATATAACTCGTTTGTGGGGTCTCTACTAACTTACGGGATAAGTATTTGGGGAGCCGCATACACTAGTACTTTAAAAATACTGCAAACCACGCAAAATTATATCGTCAGGACTATTTTTCGTATCCCATGTAGGTCAAGTTGCAGATTTGTTTACATTGAAAATGATCTTTTGAATGTTAGGGGTTTATATATTTTTGCTGCTCTAAATTTGTGTAAAAATTTTTTCACTCCCGAAACAATGTTTCAACCAGCCACGCTTATGAAACAAGAACTAAAATAAATATAAGTTACACCTATACGAGAGTGAATAAATCTGTTTGCCAAAAATGCATAAAGTTTGATGGTATTAGGTTGTATAATAAATTACCCCTAGAATATAAAATCCTCTCGGAGTATAGTTTCAAAAAAAGAATTAAGAAGTTCATCTTAAATAACTTTGACATGCTTGCATCGACCGTAGCTTGACTCAACTCAGTAATTTCGTTTCTATCTAATGTTTTTTTTATTTCTTTTTTCTTATATATACATTTGCTCATAATATACCTTATAACCATTAGCCATGCATTGAATTTGTATATTGTATGACACACACAAGCTTATAGCTTAGGTGTCTATTCTTTTGTAGTAAATTCTTTTGTAGTAAATTGTAGTACTCTTGTTTCTCTGCTTAACCTTCACGCAAAATTTTTATTGTTTGAACAACATAGTTTGTTTGACCTTACTCGAAATATCCCTATATTACCATATTTCAGATATTCATATTTTATGTACTCTATATTTATACTTCTGAATGTTTTTTTTAGTATGCTTCTGTACTATTGTTATGAATTTTAGATTTGTTTATGCAGACACGTAATTTAGGATTTGTGACGACAAGATTCAGACATTTACCCTTTACGAAAGTATACAGAATTTTCACAATTCACATACCGTTACTTGCTGGTTCTAAATCTGATGCTAGCATCTTTGCTCAGATTTCTGTTGCAATCTTGGTTATTCAGGGTAGCAAGAGTATACAAGCTCATGTATTTTTGAAGCTTTTTTTATTTAAATTGTACTGAAGGTTGTTTTTTTTAATTTGTAAGTTATATTGGTTTTTGAATTTGAATAAACTTTGAATCTTGTTACTTTTTGGCCCTCAGCTCCACCACCACTGGACCGATTATCAAAAACTATTAAGCTTTTCTCTTCCTGGAACAGTGGTAACCTTGTGTGAACGTCCAAATCCGAGCGATACTTTCCAGGCTATAGACGAGTCAAGAATTAGCGGACAGACCGACAGACAGATAAACGGAAATTAGTGACATAGTTTTCCGTGATAACATAACAGGCATGTTCTGGCGAAGAATTTCTGACGATTGTGGATGGTTGTAAACAGTTAACCAATTCAGTGTGATGTATGGGTTTACCACTTTTTGGCGATTCGTTCGGTCAACTGAATTTGACCGCTACACACCGTTCGAAAATCGTTACTAGAACATGGCCATAACATAATTTTCGTTTTACAATTACATACTTCCTTCCCAGCCTGTGCCTGTGCCATCTTCTCTATATTTTTTTAACTAAATTGACCTAGAGGCGTTAACACTCTGAACACGAAATATTATTTTGTTGAAGTATCCACCGCTTGTGGAAATATACATACATAACCATACATCTGAATAGTTAACCCAAGCTTTGTAAAGGTCAGACTTCCTCTCAGTCCCACTCTGTGCTAACTCTGCTAAGATAATTTTTACAGATCGCGATTTCCGAAGCATATTAGAAATATTCCGAGCGTAGAATATTCTTCTGATAAGGGACACCGCCCTCTAAGAGATAGATACACACATACATACATCTGAAAGGCTAGTCCGGAATTTGCAAAGGTCAGTCGTGCTCACAACACGCGCCGTTGCTCTACTGCCCCCCAGCCGTAGCAGGTATTGATTGATTTAGGTGTTATTACTTTGTTAGGATATATTGCATCAAATAAACTATTTGTGTATGTTTTCTCCTAGTTCGTGTTGTATCTGGAGCGCCTACGCGGTGGATTCCTTGCATTCTATTAGAAAAACCACTTTTGCAATTCTAACAGCTTTAGCTTTATCAAAGCTCACGGAATTTTGTATTTGCTTCTTTTGAGTGTATTGTAGTCAGCTTTTCCAAGAAAACTTCTGCTTGTAAATTTAATTATAAAATTGGGGATGGTTACATAAATCGTTATAACAGAATTAAGGATTTGGGTGTAGTTTTTGACCATAAACTTAATTTTCCACTCCACATACAAACTGTCTAAGCTTTAACCGTCAAGAGTCACGGTTGGTTTTGTATTCTGCATATATTAGATCGAAATTGGAATGTACATCGTTAATTTGGAACCCAATTTATAACTGCCACATTGATTCTCTTGAGCATGTTCAGAGAAAGTTTCTAAAATTTTTATCTTTTAAAGTTGACGGTATATATCCGGAACGTGGTATATCTGAAAGTTTGTTATTGTCTAGGTTTCAAGTGCAGCCTTTAGAACGTCGAAGGAAGTGTGCCTCAATTATGTTCTTGCATAACCCACTGCACAATCAAATTGATGCTAATGGGATTGTGACTCAAATAAACTTTAATGTTCCATCTATTCAAACTCGTACAGCTAAAACATTTTATTGTGACAGAACTCGCACAAATTTGTTTTTGAAGGCACCCATATATGTGATGTGTGAAACTTTCAATGCAATATCATATTATTGTGATATACATGCTGACATTTTGAACAGCATTCTGGGAGTAGCTATAAATTGCTTGGATAATCTATGATATGTTAAGGCGAGAATACACATGCCAGTAAAATAACATGCCAATGGCCAGTAACTTCTATGCTAACTACTTGTCCTACGACATCCCAAAATACACATGCTAGTTTTGGATATGCCAGTCTGTGAAAAATTTCCTTTATCTTCTTTAACTCTTGGTGGTAGGTTGTTCTTAGGTTTTTTATCTTATTTTTCATAAATTTTAATGTTAAATTGTTATCAGTCATTTGCTTCAATAAATACTTGTAAGCATTGTCTCTAGCGATTTTATTTTTATACAATGGAGATCATGTATTCCATAAACACGGATACTCCCTATACTGCATAACAAACAATAAAGTCTTTTCGTCTCCCCAACGAGCCATTTTGCCCGGAACTGAACAAATAGTTCTATAGTTCAAGAATCCGTTTTTCACATGCGAGTTTCTGGTAACGATGTCATTCACACACCTTTGAACATGACTCGCGTGTTTCCTCCCCTCCATTCCCTCGACGAAATCCTGCTACTGGCACACAAAAATCAAACGTCTTGCGATCTACTGGCGTGCTATCTTCTACCGTGCTTTCTTGCTCGCAAAGAAAGTCACACATGCAAGTAGCACGCACAATCCAGTAACTGGCATGCTTCTGTGCGTGTAACAAGCATGTGTATTCTCGCCTTTACTCAAATGAGTGAAGTATGTTTTTTTACTTCTTTTTCTTATTTGTTTTTTTCTTTAGATGAAATCACCTGCTTTTTATGTGTTTTCTGATCTTGTTATTTTGATTTATCTTTGGATTGACCTGTAAACGGTTTCCTTAGCTGTTGGGCAATAAAGGCTATTTATTTATTTATTTTGAGGTGATTAAACAAGGTTTTCAAGACATCATTATAATAGAAGCAGACCCAGTGTTGGGGAGGCACAACTTTACGCGAGATTAATGTAGAAAAAAATAAGGTTCATCAGGTCTGAACTTGCATGCTCATCACTTAGCAGTTGCCACCATAAATTGTGAGACTCTGCAAAACCAACATGACACACATCATAGAAGTGCTTGCTGTATTTCGTCATGGTGGGTAGGGAAAATTGAACCAGCTGTTTATGGGGTGTATCTTCAATTGAACTGAAGCGTATAATTATAGCAATTTAATCCACGGCTACAGTTTCACATCCGTGATCAACGGAAATTGTTAGTTGTAATCTGATAAGACATTTCCCTTTATGGCGTAGCAAGTACAGTAAAAATAAGGTAGATAAAGATTGCGCACGCGTGTTCCCAACAGTGAGACTGCAAAGCTAGTATACTCCCCCACCCACTATGGAAGTGCTTACCGAATTTCGTCATGATAGCTAGGGGAATTGAACCTGCAAGTTATGGAGTATGTGCTTCAGTTAAATCGCCGTGTATAGTGATCGTAAATCAGCCCACGGCTCTGGTTTCACATCCGTTAATAACGGAAGCTGTTAGCGACGAATCTAGTTAGACATTTTTGTTCGTGAAGTACCGAATGTGGTAAAAATGTGTTGCATGAAGCTTGCACTTGCATGCTCACCACTTACATAACAGTTGTCGTTCGTTGTAATTATTATTACATTCCCGGCAATTGATTTATCGGCGCACTTGGTTATTTATTGTCAGCCAGGAATGGCGTCAACAGCCGTAATACTAATTAAACTGTAATGGTGGTGCTTAGGTACTGCCAGCTGAAATATGGCGTTCGGATGTCAATTTTCCTGCTAGATTCTAAATTTTGTTTCTGACGATTTATCTGTTTATATCATGTTAACGTAAAAAATCTTGATTAAAGAACTAACAAAGAATGCTATGATCATGAGCAGTTCTCTCCAGCTTGCCCACTCTACGTCTTTCCACCCAAAGCATCCTCTAAAGGATCATCAAATAGCAAAAAATATTTACCCATCTATAGAATATTTGAACCTGTATATTAAGCAAGTGGAATGATGGTCTTCAGAGATCAGTTGAAATTCTTTTCTGTGCGATTCGTTGCATCCTAAGTGGCATTACTTCGTATGTTTGTGTTTAGATTGCGAGACATATCTGGAGTAGAACCAGGTCCATGTAGATATGGAAACAGTCACTATTTGGAGGTGCAGTAGTCTTGCTCCTAATACAGTACTGTACCTTAACTAATACGAGTAATAAACGCTTAATATGAGACAGTCAAGTACTTGCTTTTGACCACCCAGCTGTCCTTTCAATCCTAACTCCATTCTTAAGGCACGTTAGCCTCCGATGGATGATGTAAGGGGAAGTATGTTGGGTGGTACCCCTACCTTTTCCAATTGCTTGGAGAAGTTGAAGATACAGCCTTGAGCCTTGAGTAACACCTGGGAAAAACGCACTAGGGGCCTAACGGGGTCTAGTCGCTGTGATCTTGGCCTTCCTTGCTACAGAATACAAAACAAGCAGATTCGGTCCAGAAAGGCCAGATGGTAGAATTCTTTCACCATCGAATCTACGAATTTCGGAGAAGATTTAAACAAAACCTATCCTGGAATAATGTTCTTAGTGAGAACACTACTATAATGAGCAGCAGTACAGAAACAAAAGGATTGCCTTATACAGTGACAGTTAATTGCCCACACATCCGGATACGGGTGTAACCTGGGGAAACGAAGATGGAGATGAAAAAACAGCACACGAAGTCCACAACAAGAGCCAACCTACACATTGTAGTATAAAATAGCTAAAATACCTCAAATTTTCAAGGTGACATCTAACGACAACCACGCGGCCGGTTATAGCCACTTGCTGTGGTACTTCAAGCCCAAAGGATCTACAAAAAGAAAATGATCGTGTAGATCCTTTAGGCTTGCATGCATAGTTTCAAATTCTATTCTTGACTTTTATTTTGAATCATCTTTAAGGTAAATATTTGATCTGATGTACCTCGCCCCTCTCTAAAACCACCTTGTTATTCCCCAACTTCTTCATCATGGAACCACTTCAGTCTGTTTCTTATTATTCTAGCAAGCACCCTCCATTTTGATGCTTACCAAAAAATATCATGAGTAAGCCTCTCACCGGGCATTATTTCAATTTCTTGCCACTAGTGAATTACATTCTGCTAGATGCCAGATTATCCTTTTATAGAGTGGATGACCCATGAGTGCTTTGTACTTTTTCATTCCCAAAACCTTAATATTAGAATCCAAAACCATATTTGCAAATCTATATGACCGCGCAAGGCAGCGCAGACATCGAATATAGACGAGAAGCAGTGACTGTATAAATTTCGCTTACGTCGAATGCTGTGACCGGACAAAACTTATTAGCATGCAAAAAAGATTCTATCTGTTATTTTCACCTGTCGGCCGTATTTGAAGAAAACGAAAGTCATTTGAATCTGGAGCAAACATGTGTGGACGTATACATGGCGGCATCACCTGTAATAGAAGAAAATTGTGGTTGAATCACCTTATCAACAGCTGTTGGATGAACCTGAGTTTCTGTGTCAGAGTAAGGGCAATCAGACAGAATAACAGTACTTAGGTCGCATTTAGCTCTTGTACGTTGTCCCGAGGAATTACTCAGGGCTGGACTGTTAGATTTAGGAAAGTGTTGATACGACCCAGGTGCGGTTCCCTTACATTAGAGCAAACAGATTGTCGTATTGATTCGAAGGATAAACCGGATGGCCAATCTTGTACACCGGACAGCCAGATTTGCCTAAAACAGCCACGGACAGCCAAAATGCAGCCATAGATAGCCATGAACAGCCATGGATAACTACAGACAAGCACCGACAGCCATGGATGGTCAATTGCTCTATACCGTCTAGAGAGCACATGCCGGGTGTTTCAAATTCGACACTTGCTATCAGGTTATCGAAATCGGTGAGATACGAAGTCGCTTAAATGGTATTTAGGTAATTAACAAAATGCCGCTTAGGAAGTTTCGAAATTCAAAGTACTTCCGGAGAGATACGGAAAAAACAGAATTTTCCCAAAATTGTTTCGATATGTTCCTGACTTATTCGTAATAGGATTTCAAATTAAATTGCACATTAACCATGCACCTTTTCTCCTCCATAAACTGGCATAATTAAAATGTCAACAGGACGCTTCATCTCATATTCCCCAGCATCAACTTTATTTTTTCTCATAGACGCCACATTGAATTCTTGCACAGATACACGAGATTTTAAGTTCTGATTCAAAAAATCTATAATATCTCATATACTTTGAAGTTGAGTCATTAATTTTCAGATAATGATTGTAGAAGGAAGATAAACCAAAATATGTGTGTAAAAATAAAAAATTTTACCTTGTTTTATAAAGTATCATCCCGACAAGTATTTTAGTGCGGACCTGTATTTGATCGTGAGGTCTTGGAGCACCGGCATGCCCTCCCCTGTGAGGTCTTAAGTCACCTGATTCACGAGCCCTTTGTACTACATTAACAAAGGCACGAGGGGTTGGTTGCACTCGATTGGGAAACCGATCCGCATAAACATGTGCCATTTTTTATTTCGTTTGAGCCACGCAGCAAACACCACTATTCACTCACGCGTTACCGACTGACACATTGACTGAATAAAAACATCGTGATGAGCGTTTCAAATTCTTTCGCTTTTTTGTTTCCGATGCGATGAACCGATAAGTCGGATTATATCCGTTGTTGCCAAACACGAGCACATAATATTATTATTGAGACAGGGCGGTACTCAAACCTCTAAAGGGCTATAACTTTGTTACTTTAATTTTACCAGAAAAATGTTAAAGGAAAAAACATTCCTTTTGATCAGATCTACTCACTGTTAAAATAAATGAATCAACTTCGAAGTCACCCTGTATTGACATTGACCTCACTTATTTAAAAAGAAGAAATAAAAAATTTCCTAGGTTGGCCTTTAAATTATCAGAGAGTAATTTGTTTCGTCCTCCAGATTTATCGCAAAATCATAATAAACTATGTGCTGAACAACATACAAAGAAGAGTCGGACCTTGTCTAAAAATAACAAACAATATTGTGAATATCTGCTATGATCAAGATCTGATTATTTATGAAAATTTTGTTACCAGGTTTCACCATACCTTTTCATTTCCAAAAAAAATTCAAGAGTAACTCAGAAAATACATTACTGATCTAAGACTGAACATTCCATTTAAATTTTCAAAATTTCAATATAGCATACTATCAGAAAAAATAAAGTTATTGCTGGAAAACAATTGTCATTTTGTAGAGGAGAAAAAGTGGCAATATTAATGTCCAGTTTATTCTGACATCCCACTACATAGTCAGGATAAAATCAAAACGATTTTGGGAGAAGTCGGTTTTTCCGCCTCTGCCCGGAATTACTCTGGATTTGAACTATTTAATCGGATGTTTTGTTAGTTACCCGCAAACACGCAACTTTGCCCTTATTTGAGCGACTTCGTGCCTATCTCTTTCCGTTTATGAGATCAGCCTGAAACACCCTGTATATGCACTAGATATACATCCATAGTATATCAAATCCATGTTTAATATCAACTGGATATTTGAAGGGTCGGCCGGAACAATGTTGTATATAACATTTTTCTATTAAATGAGATTTCCGTAAAACAACGTAGTATGTGCCTATTGGGACCCGTTGACAACATAGACCCACCAGTTTACTCGCATCAATCACTGTGACGCGAATTTGTAAAGCGCGCCATTTCAGTCTTCCGCGTAACAACGTTGTATGTACGTAAGCAAAAAAGAATATCTATGGTTTATGAACCATTAAAGTGGGTAAATGTCATTGCTAAAGCCAAAGTTAAAAATCCTTTTAAAGTTGTCTGGATGCACCAAGCCTTCTTTGAGAATTTAACAGCTTTGGAATGTTGTATATGGAAATACCCCAAATGTAAAATTACGCAAGGATTGTGGCTGCAACTTACCGCTGATTCTCCAGCTACTTTGAGAATGAGAAAATCTCAAAATATAATGCAGCCCTGGAATTCATTTCCCATAAGCGATCGTAAAAGAAAAAAAACAATGACTTTTGCCACTGAAATCATATCATCTGAGAAATTACCTATCATGCATCAGAACCTTCTTCCAATCAAAGATGAAAAATTAAAAAACCTTGAGGATATGAGTGATTATATTCCGCTTAAGTATGTAACATTTTATGAGAAATTAACTGCAACCCAGTAATATTTATTTAAGTTTCAGTTTTGGTTTCGAAACACGTTGTTGAATTTAGAACGTGTTTTTTGTTATTAAAAATATCTTACTGTGTACTTTGGTTCCCTTAATAAATAGAACTGCTGAAAATACTTGTTTTGCTTATAGTCATTTAAAGCATCCCTGTAACAACGTTGTAAGTAACGCGATCATACAAACTTGTTACATGCGTTTTCCATAAAAAGTGTTCCGATAGCTGCAAAATAGGTATCACATTTTTAAATTACAATAACCTGGTATAACTATTGTTCCTTTATTGTGCTGGCCAACTATAGACGCAGTCATTTGAAAAAAATGGTTCAAATTTGTTTTTCTTAATTTTAGCCACTGAGCTGTTTTGTTACATACAACGTTGTTCTGGCCGACCCTTCATTTAATGTATATACAGAATTGTCAAGGTTTTGAGGATAGCCATGGATGTTCTATATGATCATGGGCTATCCATGGGATCGCTATAATAATTTTGATTAGACAAAATACCCAAACCTATTATCCTGAGTTTGCACTTTTACTGTTAATGTTAGTATTTCGCTACTTCGCCGCTGGGGAGTTATCTAGCAGCACAGAAAGATATAGGGTGTTTGTAAATTTCTACGTTACTGATGAGTCTGAATAAGGACAAAACAATATTGTTGAAATAACAGCATGGTGTGACAGAATTCTTTTGATAATACACTACATACGATTTCCAATGTCAGGCATCGCTTACCTCAGCGTATTTTCAAAGTTGCGCGTGTTGAAGTTCTTTATATTTTTAACTCAATTGTTCAAACCTATTCCTTTTCAAAAGAAGTAGTCTGACAAAAACTTCGCAAAAAAGGCGATTCGCGTGAAAGTACAACAGCTGTTTCAAAAAAAGTCAGTGGCGTAACAAGTTGTTTTAATTTTTCTTTTGCGTGGGTCAAAATCTCCCAATTTCTACGCCACTGATGTAGTAATATGTACACGACAAGTTTTGAATGTAATAGTTTTAACATCAGTGCTACGCGCACAGGACTTTAAGTCAATACCTTAATTCACTAAAAAGATACATTTTTTCTTCCGATTTCGATTTTTTTTCAACATCCTGTTTCTCTGTAAGAGGGCATTTTAAGACTCGCGTTCATCGTTTTTCGATCTATGTTTCCATCTACATCTACGACGTGTACATACAGTGATGTGAAATGGATTCCTTCATTTCCTTCTGCAAATTTTCGTACAGATATTCTAATGTACCTCAGAATGAGATTCACGTAGTGCCTGCGTTTAAGAGACTAGTGATACCACTGTAAAACTTAAGTTATATACAGGGTGTCCCAGAAGTCGACGTCAAGCCGAAACCGGGTGATAGGCAAAGTCATAACAGCTATCAGAAAAATATTTAAAAAAATGTTATGTATGTGTTTTGAAAATTATAGGTCTTTGAAAAGAATATAGAAATTTCACACCCTATGGCAGTCTGTCAACTCCTGTTACTACAAATATTAACTTTTTTGGATTTTATTTTTACAATGTAATGATGAATAATGCATCTTCAAACTGGTGTCTCAACCTTACTGCCAACTTCTCTCGTTCAGGAAAAATTGCCACTTATTTCCCAACCAAGTATTCCAAACTAAAACTTTGCTCAACTTTAACTGGCTGTACTAGAAAAAAATGTACTACGAGAGTTTGGCAAGTAACCTTAAAAGTTGTCGCATTTAATAGGGATTCCAAAATGGTATAACACTTAGAAGATTACTCGTTAACTTATGCACAATTGTTATTTGAAGAAAAACTGATGAAAATTTTCCAAAATTTCCTAATTAGACAGCGATTATGAAAACGCACAAGGACCCTTAAGGATAACTGTTTGCACAACAGCGGGCGTCAAAATGCTGCTGATGATGATTTACCTTTACAGCAAATGCTCAAACTGTTTTCCTTCAGCCGCAATACACGCTCTACATCTTCTTAAAGAAGATCGGGTTATTAAACGAGCGAATCCACGGTTATTAACAAACTCAACTGCTTCCAATAGTCTTTGCCGTAGCTCAGCTACATTTTGAATCGGCTTGAAATACACTTTTTCTTTTACAGTTCCCCAGTAAAAAAAATCTAACGGATTCAAATCTCGTGACTGGGCTGTCCACGGTATTGTACCAGACCGCCCTATCCATCTGCCTGGAAAGTTTTGATCGAGATACTCTCTCACTGAGAGTGCATAGTGCGCTGGGCAGCCATCATGCTGAAACCACATGTCCCTGTAAATACTCAGTGGCACGTCCTCCAATCAATTTTCTAAATGATTTTGCAAAAAACCTAAATAAACCTCAGCAGTCAAAGTCTCTGGGAACTCAAACGGACCGATTATTTTACCATTTAAAATTCCTGTCCAAAGGTTTATCTTGAAACGATATTGAGATTTATCTTCTCTCATCAAATGTGGGTTTGCTACGTGCCATTCGTGTAAGTTATGCAGGTTCATGTACCCATCTTTCTTAAATGTGGTCTCATCTGACCATAAAATTTTTTCAAAGAACCGTGGATCTCGCCTGTGTCTTTCTAGCATTGTGCGTCAAAAAGCAACTCGGGGCTCATAATCCCGGGGCAGAAGAGCTTGAACACGTTGTACGTGGTATGGATGGAGCACGGTTTTTTGCAAGATTGTATGGGCTGTACTTTTGGGCACACCTGTTTTTAGTTCTATTGCACGCACTGAAGTACTCGGGTCTTCTTCGACAGCTCCTAGCACCACGTCTTCGTAAGGAAGGAAAGATCTTCCCTCACCGTGTGATTGGTTTGGTAGTTGGCCCTCTGACAACAGTAAGCGGTGCACATTTGTGAACAGTCGTTGATCTGGATGACGAGCTGCATTCGGGTACCTCTCACAGTAAAGTCTCGCTGCAGCACTAGCGTTGCATCTGCATTCCCCATAAATGAGTTGCATGTTAGCATATTCTTGTACGGTGTGCACGGACATAGCGGCACTGCACAATCACACTATCAAAGATAGTCTAAGGAAAGCAAATGTTGTTTTGAAGAGCAATTAAACAGTCCAAATCCAAATCACAAGCGATCAACAGTCCAGTTCACGAATCCAAAATTAGTAACAGTACGAAATCAACAAGCACGAACATGTAAAGATGCGCAGTAAACGAAGGAGTACTGATCGGTATCAAAGTGTGCAATAGCAAGTAAGTGATGTACTTCATCCATAACACAAACAGCATGTTCAACCTCTCCTGCCCCGGGATTATGAGTCCCGAGTTGCTTTTTGTCGCACAATGTTAGAAAGATACAGGAAAGATCTACAGATCTTTGAAAAAATTTTATGGTCGGATGAGACCACATTTAAGAAAGGTGGGTACATGAACCTGCATAACTTACACGAGTGGCACGTAGCAAACCCACATTTGATGAGAGAAGATAAATCTCAATATCGTTTCAAGATAAACCATTGGACAGGAATTTTAAATGGTAAAATAATCGGTCCGTTTGAGTTCCCAGAGACTCTGACTGCTGAAGTTTATTTGGATTTTTTGAAAAATCGTGTACAAAATTTATTGGTGGACGTGCTACTGAGTATTTACAGGGACATGTGGTTTCAGCATGATGGCTGCCCAACGCACTATGCACTCTCAGTGAGAGAGTATCTCGATCAAAACTTTCCAGGCAGATGGATAAGGCGGTCTGGTACAATACCGTGGCTAGCCCGATCACCTGATTTGAATCCTTTAGATTTTTTACTGAGGAACTGTAAAAGAAAAAGTGTATTTCAAGCCGATTCAAAATGTAGCTGAGCTACGGCAAAGACTATTGAAAGCAGCTGAGTTTGTTAATAACCGTGGATTCGCTCGTTTAATAACCCGATCTTTTTTAAGAAGATGTCGAGCGTGTATTGCGGCTGAAGGAAAACAGTTTGAGCATTTGCTCTAAAGGTAAATCATCATCAGCAGCATTTTGACGCCCACTGTTGTGCAAACAGTTATCCTTAAGGGTCCTTGTGCGTTTTCATAATCGCTGTTTAATTAGTAAATTTTGAAAAATTTCCATCAGTTTTTCTTCAAATAACAATTGTGCATAAGTTAACGAGTAATCTTCTAAGTGTTATACTATTTTGGAATCGTTATTGAATGCGCCAACTTTTAAGGTTACTTGCCAAACTCTCGTACAGCCAGTTAAAGTTGAGCAAACTTTTACTTTGGAATACTTGGTTGGGAAATAAGTGGCATTTTTTTCTGAACGAGAAAAGTTGGCAGTAAGGTTGAGACACCAGTTTGAAGATGCATTATTCATCATTACATTGTAAAAATACAATCCAAAAAAAGTTAATATTTGTAGTAACAGGAGTTGACAGACTGCCGTGGGGTGTGAAATTTGTATATCTTTTTCAAAGACCTATAATTTTCAAAACTCATACATACAATTTTTTTAAATATTTTTCTGATAGCTGTTATGACTTTGCCCATCACCCGGTTTCGACTTGACGTCGACTTCTGGGACACCCTGTATACTCTAACAAAAAGTCACTAGTCTGGTGCTGGAACCTTGAGGAACACCCTACTTTATTCGATTGATATTTGTTTATCACTTCCTGTGAGCAATTATGCTTTCTTAAAATCCCAAATCCTTGCATTGAAGTAACGTTACGCAAAAGAACAAAATCATAAACATTACCTTACCATGTGCTAATTAAAATGACTTAGTCGTAATTTAATGGAAATATGAAATATAATGTAATAAACTTGTCAGCCAATAACGAAGTGGAGATAAAAGATAAGTCCAATGCGTATAATTTTGGTTTCAGTAATTTAAATTAATTTAAAGTTAATGTTTGCTTAATGTCTTCACTTACAAACGATGATTTGTAGCCTGTGGCAAGCTATATCGATAAATTGTCGCAATTCAGGGCGACACACATTGCTTCTAAAGGTCAGTTGTGCGATTGAAAATGGTTCTTTTGACTGTGGTTGTGAATATTCTTCTTGAATCGATGTTTTGGAAATAAGCGGAACCCCACAGCAGTAGTTTGCCCTGGGCCCTGCGTTGAATAACTGGGATTTAAGATTGTCAAATCAATAAATTGCCGTACGAACCAATATTGCAACAAGAATACCTCACAGACTGTTTATTTGAAAAGCAGACAACTTCATACAAAATTAGTATTAAATGAGAAAGTCTCCCGGAAAGACTTATAAGTATAAGGGATTTCTGTTTAAAAAATTGTTTCTGCTGTATTTAATTCTTGAATTCCCAGTTTCACCTGTAGGTGTCAGGATTTTAACATTTGACGTAATATTTGAAGCTTATCCTGTGGTTTTCATGTCAACAATCCTCCTTCTTTTAAACCATATGCGACCTTCTTCAATACATTGCACTTCTTTGATAATATCTTATTTATCTGTAATCCAGGTGACACTTTGTTGTTTCTTTTAATATTCACATTCCTATACAGTGTTACTACAATAGTATGAAATGTCCGTAACATGCTCAGCCTTGTTAGGTGTGATACGACAACAGCTCTGGGTGAATTTTCGCATTTTTCTTTTCTGAGGACTTTTGGCGTTTTCGCTACTCATTTTCATTTTCTAGCAGCACTAACCATACGATGTATGTCCATTAAACTATTCAGCTGTTTCTCACTAGTTTTCTGCAATACAAAATGAAATAAAGATGTCCAGACTGTCAGTATTGTTTCTACTGCATGTTATACATGAATACATACGATAAAAATCAACAATGGCAACGTTTCAGTGTCACCTGTAGATGACACCCCCTTACAATAAAGTGGGAGTAGATCTAATACCTCTTTATCTTATAACGCTTTTTTGCACAACCATATATATTTCATATATTTTAGTTAAAGGGGTAGTACATTTTTCATTGAGGTTCATATCGGTATTGAAGAGTTAAAACTGAATTTCAAACCTCGTTTTTGATCCATCTGTATTATCACATAATTATTGTTTAGTTATGAAGTCTAAGGAAATAAGTCCTTCCTAAGGAAACCGCTACAAATCGCATAATCCAAATACATAGAGACTTGAATCAATAACTTGCGGTATAAGAAAAAATGTCAGCATTCTGGAAATATTTTAGCTGAATTGTTCCCATTAATTTTAACATGAAAGCATGGATTTTCTGTGTAGTCTAGAGCATACTTTCTGGGTAATGAAACACCATTTTTCGTGGACATCTTTTATTGTTTGCAGTACATGTGACATGTCATCTTAGTGACAAATTCCGATACCGTTTTTCATTACTCCATGCTCCAAAATCTATATATGAAACTGTTAAGCCAGTTAGATTTGCCAGTCTATTTGATAGGCAAGACCTCTCTATAAAAACAGAGACGGATGCTGGTCGTAAAGACAGATTGCGCATTAACAGAACTGCCGCTAAATCAGAAAATGTTATCCAACAAAAAAGGAAGTTTGAACTTGTGCTGGCGTGTTTTCTGCTTCGCGAAGCACCCGGTTAGACAATCCAACGAATTATTGCTCTCCTAAGAGTAGTCATACCTACAGCGATGAGAACCACCAAGCACCAGTGGGAATGTCTTTAATTGATGGTCAACTAGAATGTATCCTGATAACATTGGTCTAATGGACAATGCCGCTTTGTCTTGGACGCTTATGTCTTGTAAACAAATTGATCTTCAATGTCATTAGTGGGGTCACGGTGGAGGTATTTTGATCTCCATACGAATATCCATCAACTAAGAGGACACTTTTGGAACAATAATTAATATCTCAAGCTGAAAATTATGAATTCATTGTTCTTAGATTGATACTGCTTACACAGTATGGGTGTCAACTGCAGAAAGCAAAATTCTATGCTTGTAGACACTCCATTCTCCCTATTGGAGCCATGGTATCTAAAAGATCACACCCTCAAATCTCAGATGATTCGTCTGGCTGGTTGTAGATTTCAGAATTCCTGAGCTTTTCAAAAATGTCCCTTAAAATGGTGCTAGTTTGGTTAAGTTCTAAACAAGTTACAAAACAAATTTTTATTGGCACCGAACAAGGCTTTTTGAATCAACAGTTTTCGAGTTACACGCAATTTGACACCTCTGAAAAAGTTGTCTAAATATCATTATCTTTGAGATTGCCATCAGTTTGAACTGAAGTTCACACCTTTGCCTACATAACACCAGAAGGTGTTAGAAGTGAAATGGTAGATAGTATGGACGAGACCTTTTGATGTCTCAAAATAAGAAAGTAACAAATTTTTTTCATTAACACTACACTTTACATCACATAATATGTGATGTAAAGTGTAATGTAGTCAGGCTACATTGAACCGACTTTGACGATGGGCTGAATCGGTTTGAAATCAACAGCCTTTCAGTTGAATATTGAAGTATTGTACAAAAACAAGCCGATGAATGGTCCTTATTAATTATCAAAATAGGTTAATTGCGCCTCGTTTGATTTCTAAGTTAAACATTTTTATTTATTCAAATATCTTATTTATTTAATATATATATATATATATATATATAGTCAGGTGAAAAATTAAAGCTTCCGCCTTTTGTTGGGTACTTCGACAAAATTTAAGCAAAGAGGACTCTTTATACTTTTTTTAATTCTCTCTAGCTTTCAATGGACTTTGCCATCATCATCAGGAGCTGCAATTACAATGATAACAGTAGTAACAAAAGTGTAAAATGAATTTAAATTGAATCAACTTACAGTAGTATGTGAGGATGTTGCTAATTGTTGTTTTCGTATAGGATGAGGGAAACGTCAAGTAACATGGTGAGAGCTGGATACATGGTACAATGGTTAAAATTATATAAAATATGACAAGTTAAAGACAGATTAAAAATTATTTAGAAAACATTAGAGCTTTACGTCGTGAAGCTGAATATATATATATATATATATATATACAGGGTGACTTCGAAGTTGAGTCATTTATTTTAACAGTGTGTAGATCTGATCAAAAGAAATGTTTTTTTCCTTTACCATTTTTCTGGTAAAATTAAAGTAACAAAGTTATAGCCCTTTGGAAGTTTGAGTACCGCCCTGTCTCAATAATATCATGTGTTCGTGTTTGGCAACAACGGTTCATCGCATCGGAAACAAAAAAGCGAAAGAATTTGGAACGATGTTTTTACGATTACAATTCAGTTCAGTTATACATACATTCAGGTTCAGTCGCGTGTGAATAGTGGTGTAACTGTTGCGTGGCTCAAACGAAATTAAAAATGGCACATGTTTATGCGGATCGGTTTCCCAATCGAGTGCAACCAACCCCTCGTGCCTTTGTTAATGTAGTACAACGGGCTCGTGAATCAGGTGACTTAAGACCTCACAGGGGACCTCACGATCAAATACAGGTCCGCACTGAAATACTTGTCGGGAGGATATTTTATAAAACAAGGTAAAATTTTTTTTTTTTTTTTTTTATTTTTACACACATATTTTGGTTTATCTTCCTTCTACAATCATTATCTGAAAATTAATGACTCAACTTCAAAGTCACCCTGTATAATACCGATACATAAATCAGGAACAAAAACAGATGTTAACAACTATAGACCAATATCAATAATATCCAGTGTAGCAAAGGTTTTTGAAAAAGTTTTATCTACTAGAATGATTCGATACCTCACAAAATTCAAAATTGTAAGTGAAAATCAATATGGATTTACAGAAGGGAAGGCTACATCGGACGCAATAACTAAAATTGTAAATCAAATACATCAAAATATTGATAACAGAATCCCTTCAATCTGCATTTTTGTTGATTTAAAGAAAGCTTTCGACACAGTTAATCACAAATTATTATTAGAAGCATTGGAGAGAATTGGTTTCAGAGGAAACGCGTACTGACTGATCGAAAATTATTTGTCAAATCGCCCACAATCTGTGCAGATATCAGGATCATTTAGTAAAGAAATGTATATCAAGTGTGGTGCCCCACAAGGAACTGTCTTAGGTCTGCTTTTATTCAATATATATTTAAATGATATTTTCCAAATTAATTGTGTTGGCAAAATAACTAGTTTTGCAGATGATACTGCAATATTATATGAAGGCACTGACTGGTATGATCTGAAAAATGTAATTGAAAATGATTTTATCAAAATTATTCGGTGGTTTAACAGTAGGAAATTAAGCATTAACTATTCTAAAACACATCTTTTACCATTTGGATCTCATGCTAAACATCTGCCAAATTACACAAATTTCTCCTTCAACATTAATGATCAAAAAATGCAAATTGGAGTGGTCTTGGATCCTCACTTACGATGGGACATCCATGTCAATGATATTTTAAAAAAAGTTAGATTTGTATCCTACAAAATTAAACACCTTGGGAATATATTGACAGAAAAATATCTTCGAACATTATACCATGCACTGATTGAGCCTCATCTCACATATGGTATATTAGCATGGGGAGCTGCATGTTCCTCACATATCTATAATTTAGATGTTTTTCAAAAAAGTATTCTAAAAATAATTAAAGTTAATTAAAAGTTAATTAAAAAACCGAAACTTTATCCCACTGAAAAATTTTACGCAGATGTTCGAATGTATGATATAAGACAGCTTTATTTCTTACACAGTATCACTCACTACCATATATTTGTAAACACCGACCCAAAAATTAAACATAATCATTATACAAGGTACAAAATTCGTGGCACAGTAGTTCCTCAACCGCATAAATCTATAATGCAGCGATCATATCTCTATTTAGCGCCTAAATTTTATGAAATTATACCTAAAGACTTAAAAGATTTACGTTTCGGAAATTGTTTCAAAAGAAATTTAAAAAAATGGCTACATTCTATATCTAGGACTGAAATTCATAAGCTCATAAATACGAACATCAACTAAATACATGACCTACTGTAGCTAATTTTTGTCCTTTTTTGTCATTTGCATTCTACAGTTTCAACTTAAATTATTGGTCCATGAACAGGCGATGCCTTCTATTGGGCCTGTTTTGATTTTATATTTATTTCTTCAGAATTGAACCAAGGGTGCTTTGAGGATTCAAACGCCCCGGACCGTTATACGTTTTTTCAATACTTTGTATTTTATTAGGTGAACTCTGAATCTATTATTATTTTCGCAGAAGAACCAACAACAAAGATGACTATGAAAAGAGATCGAGTTGAGCTTTTCCCACCAATGAGAGGCTTTCGCCTAATTGCGACTGCATGTTAGTAGGAAAGGAACATCTTTACAATAAACTGCGATAGGTCGTACCGCTACAATTTTTTCGCTGTTCGTCGCTAATGTGCTCCGAGACACATTCTGAAGGACTTGCAAAGATCCTGATGAGGCCCAAATTAGAGGTGGTTGATAACTCTACCATCGAATATTTGTGATATACGATATCGTTACCACTTGGCATCAGTGATTTAAAACCGTGACGAAATCACGAATTTCGAACAACGATGGAGTTATGGGTATACTGTAATGGCGATGAAATCGCATGGGGTGCACTACCAAATCCTTTAAGGCACATCGCTTGTAGGCCTCAGCAATTCTATGGTGGTATACAATTTTTTACATTGGCGGCTAGCGCGTATGGGCATCTCATGCACATTTAAACGCTAGCTCTGTGATCCGATGATGCCATTCACCATTGCCACGAAGCCAAGTCGTGATCTCTTCACGGTTTTAAACGGTATTTTGTAAAAGTCGTGATTCTTGATTTAGAAATATCAGTTACTAAATCACAGTTCGTGAAATATCTGCTATCACTAGCTAAAATTCTGTAATCTTGGTTGATCCTCCTATCAATATACATGACAAAGTACCGTGATTTATACAGTTTTGCCCGTTTTCCTTTGGCCATGACTTAGCAAATGCACTGACTCGAGTTACGAACCACTGATGGCCATCCTACACTCACTTGAATAAAACGTCTATGAAATCGATATCATCGCATCCTATCATCCCTAACGGATATGATAACGTAGTTAATCAACGCTATTAACGACAAGTCGAATCTCCACTTCCTGCTGGAGACACCGCGTACTAAAGTTACGCATATGAAATCAACATGCATCTAACTAAAATTCGATGCAAATAACCTGCGTGCAGGTCAGTTTTCTACTACGTTTGCCACGTAAATTGAAGAGAAACCTATCCAATCTCATCACGCGAAGTTATCCTGATATTCAAATCGACAGTGAGAAATGTAAATCATGTAAACAATCTTACTAGTTTTCCGCAAAAGTATACGCTTAGAGGAATATGAATTGATATTATATGGTGTATATACAGCGTGGCACAAAAGTCCCGAAACGACTTTGTGTTTTCTCGGGTAAGGTATTTTTGGAAAAGATCAAGGACAACTCTTTAGTAAATTTCAGCAAGGAATTCAACGAGGACCCGGAATGCGTCATTGACCTTCAGCTTCAAGGTCAATATACAGTGGAATTTATTTTTTCAAATAGAAACACCTATCGTTGTTGCGGGCAATCGAAAGAACATAAAATTTTACGTTCGAACATATTTAAAGTCCAAGGTCAGGATGATTACTAAAGGTCAAATGAAGATGAAGTGTACGCTGCTAGGAAAATCTTTGTAAAACCACACAGGATTAGGGATGAAGATAACTATCAAGGTAAGGTCTGTAGTAAGTTTCGATGAGCGATCTTATATTTGACCTTGAACTTCACCTTCAAGGTCATTTTACGGTCAACCTTTTTTTGTCTAATAGAAACCTGCAGGAACAGTGTCGGTTAAAACTCATGTGTAACGAGCACCGTAGTTCTCTCTTTAAAACTTACCCAAAGATCTGACCTTACCAGTTAATTTTCTTCACTATTTGTGAGAGATTTCCTAGCAGCACACATTTGGCCTTTATGTGACCTCTAGTGGTCATCTTGACCTTGAATTATAATATAAGTTGAACATAAAATTGTTAACCCTCTGGATTGTCGGCATTAAATAGGCATGTGGAAAAGTAGTGTTGACCTTGGAATTACCTTGGAGGTGGAGTTCAAGGATCACACCTACACTTGTGAAAATATACTAAAGCCCTGACATTACACTGTACAAGATTATTGCGTTCCCAAGCAGTGCTAACCTCCAGGTCTCTCGTCAGAGAGGAAGTCGTCGCTAATCTTCTTTTTTCCAGCTCAGCTGCAGAGATCGCCTTGTCACTCTGAATTCCTGCATGCAGAGTGCTGTCATCAGCGAAGCTGTGGATTTGGTTCATCATACAGGAAAGGAGGTCGTTGATATGCAAGAAGAACCGTGTCATAGCTGATTGAACGCTTTCGTGATATCAAGGCCAACGACATAAGCCTCACCGTAATACTGGATTAGGTTACTCCACAATTGCGTGACGTAAGCTGGGAGGTCCCCTTTGGATCGTTGGTGCCGGAAACCGTACTGCCCATCGCTAATCAAGCTGTGACGTTCGAGGTAGTCCTGCAGCTCACGATTTATGCACCTCTCATCACCTTACTTATAACAGAAAGCAGAGCTATAGGTCTGCAGTTGTAAGGGTCGGTTTCAGATCCTTTTTTTGGGATGAGTTGGACATGAGCAAATTCACAGTTTTCTGGATTCATCAGATATCTGGAAGAGACGCGAAAGAACTGAAGCATGCTCCGCTGCACACCTCTTCAGTACAATCAAGTCCGGACCAGAAGCTATGTTGGGGGGCGTCCATGGTGGAGTTGGCAGCAAAGATTTTGGCAAGCACTTCAGCCTTGGCCTTCGTGTCACTTACAATCGTTCCATCCTGACACGTAAGTGTGGAAGGCTACTGTGAGGCAAGTTCTTTTCAATCTGCTTGGCCAGCGTCCAGAAAGACAGACTGCCATTTGGCTGCGACATTACCTTGCCAAATCAGACATATCTTTCATCATCATCAAAAGACATTATTTGTGAGACATTTTTCATAATATTTTGTCTGTGTCCATAGTAATTGTATTACGCATCAGGGAGATGTAGGAATTGACACGTCTTACACATATTATTTGTGTTTTAGGATGGAGAGGATATAATATTTTTATTGCTTTGTTGAAATTCATTAAACCATAAACTACGATGTAAAGGAAGATGAGGAATTGGATGGAATGTATTTTATATTCTATTTTCTTGCAAAATACAGACAAACTCACACTATTCAACAGGTATGTATGATAACACTCAGTATATTGAGCTGGACAAATTCGAGATTGCCATCAATTAACAAACGGCCAAACCTGCTGCCAAATTTCACAACTAGAAAATCGACATATTATTTCTCCCATTCTCATTCGCTGAGGGGATAACGGATTGTCAAATGTAAACGTATAACATAATTCGAAATACATGAATGTTGTCCTGTTTTTTCTGTACCAAAGCATCGTGTTGGAACCAAGAAGTGGTCTTATTTATAATACAGTCGAATTTTCATTATTTTATTCAATATTTTAATAGAAATCACTGATAATCAGAGACATTTTACAGCTTCTGTCAAATTGTGTCTTAATATGAAACTTACCGAATCTTGCAGAGAGATTCTTGAACAGAACAACATTCTCACATTTTCCTCTGTTCACACCCTTTTTAAGGGAAAATGACCTACTTTGTGATCTACCACAAAGCCATCAATATAATACCCGAAACGTCAACATCAAATTCATTCAGAGGCATTCCACATCATGCTTTAAAAAGTTTCTCTTCTACAAGTGAGTCGTTTAGTATTAGAACATTCAAAAGTCACATCAAATTTAAAGCAGAGGTCATTTCTCATGAGACACGTAATTTATGGAGCTTATACATTTTCAAATAGGAATCCAGAATTTTTTTTCACATTTTTTTACTGTGTTGTTTTATGTAACTTGTGTTTAGACTGCATTTAGGTATTTTAAATTCATACCGGACTGTTGTGTCTTAGTACCATTTTCAGTTGATCTTCATAACTAAAAGGAACATTTAGTGCCTACCTGTAGCTGACATGCCACATATATTCTCTGTACCATGGGTGGTCAATATCTTCCATTGGATAAAAGTTTTGTGGCAGAATTACTCCACAATGTAATGCACTCGTTAATGACACAAAAAACTCTTAGGAAGGCCCTGATCGGATCACCTTGTGCTATCTCAGAATCTCTTGTTGCCTTGGATCTCTTAAAACTTGTGTAGGAAATCTTATTTATGATACCCCCTCGGATTAGTCCAACTTAGGTACAACTTAATCTTCGATCCCCAGATTGCGTTGGTACACAGTTCTGTAAAATAGAAAAGATTACTCAATTTTTTTGTATGGTTCGAAGGTCTTGGCTTCAACTGATCTTTGGACTGCCTAAGGCTAACTCGGTTGGTCCTGATGTATAAGACTCGAAAAAGCAGAAACTGTCAAATTATCTTGTCCACAAGCAACGTAGTATGATAGATCTGTATTAATCGTGCTCCGTTATCAAGGCTATGATTCTCATTGACGTATGTGTAGTAATTCAAGCAGCAGCAAGCAGTCGTGGCATTTTTTCGCACATTAAGAGAAACTGTTTCAAATTGCAATCAGGGCAATTACTTCGAATACGACTTTAATGATAATAGATGGCCAAACATGGAAAATACTAAACATATCGGACGCCTTTCCTCATGCTATAGAAATTATCTGACATAGAATGCTGATTCTGGTTTTTGGCGTAGTTTCCAGACAGGCTTGCAGTCGTGAGATGTATTACGTCCTTTGAGACATTTCGGTTAGGGAAATTACGGTTGAAACTACGTTCTGTGCCTTGAGACAACTTTACAACAGCTTTCGAGTACCGTCTTCAAATTTTTTAACAAAATAATTTATTTATGGTCAATTTTTTTTATCTTTTCTAAAAGGTAAATTTATAACAAGCGCATTGTTTAAACACACATCAACTCGACTGCAGTAACTAAAAGGAACAAAGACCGTTCGTCCTCTAGTACGTGGAATAGAATCGTTGCACATACAGACGGGCGCAAAACATGACCCGCCCCCTAAGGGCCAGTATTATAAAGCACGTTTTCAACCTTCGGTTGATCATCAGTTCCGAGCTAGCAGCCGTCACGAGCATACACTTGTGCGACTGCGACCCACCCGGACATATTGAGCAATCTTATTGCAATTTTCATTGCGATAGATTGTTTGTTTGCCATCTACGATGGCAAAAATTGAGAAGCTGGCTAACCAGCTGAAAGAAAAGAAGGATGCTTTCGCCATGCTGGAAGAGCAGATGCGAAACCTGCAAGAAGCATTCTTGCAGGCCAGACAGGAGATTGAAGACCTGAGCGGGAAGCTCCGCAGGGCCAAGAAGAAGGCCGCAAAGAAGACAGGAGAAGAGGAGGAAGAGGACCACCAGGCGACATCGGACGAGATGGACGCCCAAGAAGAGGGCACTCAACAGACCGAAGGACCGAAGGAAGAAGAAGCCGAGAAGAGGACGGACGACACCGACTTCAGTGTCGCCACCAGACGGAGGAAGCGGGTGCGAGTTTCCTCCGAAGAAGAAGAAGAAGAACCCAGGCAGCGAAAGATGCCAGCTGCCACAAAGAAGAGTGGTCCTAGAGCAACCAGGACCACCGAGGCCCCCATGGCAGGAACAGGAGTTCCGCCAATCAACATCGAGGGCACCGCTGATTGGTCATCCTTGAGTAGGATGATGAACAGCAAGGGGATTCAATTCTCCAAAGCGAGGACGGCGGGTACCAGTGTGAAGGTATTCACAAATACACCAGCTGACTACCGTCAGCTAGTCGCACTGCTTGAATCCATCAAGCGGCCCTTCTTCACATATCAACTGAAGGAGGACAGGATGGACCAGAGGGTCGTTCGTGGGCTTCCGAGAGAGATGTCAGTCAATGACATCAAAGAGGATCTGGTGAGCCAAGGCATCGCAGACGCCGTGGTTCAGCAGCTGACCTCAAGGACCACAAAGAAGCCACGTCCGCTCTTCCTCGTCAAGACGAAGATGCTGGAAAAGCTTGCAGAGATCCAGAGGCTGGCCATGCTCACGGTCAGCTTCGTGAGGAAGAAAAAGTCTTCCGAGCCCAGCCAGTGCTACCGCTGCCAGCGGTACGGGCACACACAGCGGAACTGCCGTCTCGCTGAACGGTGCGTTAAGTGTGGAGAGGACCACAACAGCTGCAGTCTGCCAGCGCCGCCAACAGGGCAACAAAACGCCAAGTGTTGCCTCTGTGGAGAAGGCCACCCCGCCAACTACAAGGGATGTAGTAAGGCGCCGAAGAAAGCTGCTTCTGCCCCCAAAGCAGTCCCCACCACAAATAGGACTTCTTACGCCCAAAAAGTGAAGAAGCCTAGGTCCACTTCTGCCCCAGCAGCCGCCACTGCTACTGGAACTACTGCGCAGAAGCAACACGGCGATGACAGACTGCTAGCAATGATGCAAGCCATCATAACCCGCCTGGATGCACTCGAGGCCAAGATGCAAGACAAGCACTAGACCCGAAATGTCTACAGGTCAAAACGTAGAATCTCTACGCATTATCTCCTGGAACATCAACGGTTTCAGGGCACGGAAACCAGAAATCCAGGAGATACTAGACCAGTACCAACCAGAGGTGATGGCCATCCAAGAAACGAAGTTGGATGCTGCCCATAGTCTGACGTTCCCGCGGTACGAGACGTACCGCTACGACAGAAGGGGCAGAGGTGGAGGAGTCGCATTACTCGTCAAACGTACCTTGACGAGTCATGTCTTCGACGATGCCGCAGACATAAATGGGGACGGAATCACGGTCCAGGTCCATCACAACCACCGTCCCTACAGAATCACCTCCCTATATGTGCCACCAGGGGAGGCCCTAGACGAAGATGACATCGCTGACCTCCTGAGAGGCCCAGGAGCACGCATAGTCATCGGAGATCTAAACTGCAAGTCTCCGGCTTGGAACAACAACGTCGAAGACAGGAATGCAAGGCAGCTCCAGGAACACGTCGATGCCCTGGCGGGGGTCATCGTCGGTCCGGAGCAACCAACCTACATTCCATTCGGCCTTGGGCGACCTGCGGTACTGGACATAGCCATCCTCCGCAACATCAGAGAGGAGTTCGAGATAGAGACCCTGGTGGAAGGATCGTCGGACCACAATCCGATTCTACTAACACTTGGTACAGGGTCTAGAACTCGAGATAGCTTGAGCACCAAACGGACGAACTGGAACCTTTACAAAACCAACGTCCAGAGGAACATCACTCAAATTCCAACCATCCGATCAGCGGAGGAACTGGACAACGCAGTAGAGGAGCTGGAGAATGCTGTCCTGCGAGCGCACGAGGACAGCACCCGCTCCGAGACTACGGCAGTTCCTAGATACCTAAATGGTCCAGCACCGCACCATATTAGGCACCTGATCAGGGAGAACAGAAGACTCAAGCGAGAACATCTCCAGCTGTTGACAGAGGAGTCGAGAGTTGCGCGAAACAGAGCATCGTTAGCTCTGAAGAACGCACTCGCGGAACTCCAAAACAACAGATGGAATGCAGCCTGTGCAGAACTAGAGACCCAGGATGGTACGGCCTGGTCTATGCAGCGAAAATTTCGTCGTCAGCGCACCACGATCCCCACTCTTCACGGCCAACGCGGCTTGGCCTACTCCAGTGAAGAAAAAGCCGAAGCATTCGCCGATTCGCTAGAATCCGAATGCAGACTCAATTACCATGAAGACGAGGACGACAACCACGAGGAGACCGTGGAAGTCGCAGCCGAAAACATGAGGAGTCGACCACCTGGCCAGGAGACGGATCACCCCTCCAGTCCAGAGGAAATCCGTCTGATCATCCGCAGGTTGAAGGTCAGAAAGGCGCCGGGAAGGGACGGCATCAACAATAGGATGCTGAAGAACCTTCCCACCAAAGGCATTGCTGCGCTCACCAACATCGCCAATGCCACTCTGAGACTTAACCACTTCCCGCGGCGGTGGCGGGAAGCCCAGGTTATAATGCTCACCAAGCCAGGCAAGGACCGGAGGTTGCCCCAGAACTACCGGCCCATCAGCCTGGTTTCCTCGGTGGGCAAAGTAGTCGAAAAGGCTATCGCCGTTCGACTAGAGAAGCAGGCAGAAGAACTGCAACTTCTCCCCCCAGAGCAATTCGGCTTCAGATCCTCCCACAACACGGAACTCCAAGCGCTACGACTGACGGAAAACATCACCAGCGGCTTCAATCTCCAGGAGGCAACCGCTCTCGTCCTGCTGGACGTGGAACGAGCCTTCGACCGAGTTTGGCACGATGGACTCATCGCCAAAATGGAAGCCGCCGGAATCGATGCGAACATGTGCCAACTGATCCAGAGCTATCTAACACAAAGATGGTTCACGGTGAAGATTGGTACATGCCATTCAACAAGACGTCAGCTGGAAGCAGGCGTGCCCCAGGGGTCAGCCTTAGCCCCCCTGCTCTACAACATCTATACTTACGATGTGCCGAAGACAGCTGACACAATGCTGGCCCTATATGCAGACGACACTGCTATAGCCGCCAAGCATAGACGACCCGAGATCATCCGTAGGAGACTACAGGGTGAACTGGACCAAATTCAGGACTGGTGCGTGAAATGGAAAATCCGCATCAACGTCCAGAAGACGCAGGCAATCTTCATTCAACGAAGAAGGATTGCAAGACCTCTCGAAGCATCCATCTTCGATGAAGATATCCAGTGGAGCGACAATGTCAAATATCTGGGGATCGTTTTTGACAAGTCCCTCACCTGGAAAGCGCACATAGAAGCTGTCATCGCAAAAACCAGAGCAGCCATGGCTCAACTCTATCCATTACTGGGTAGACACAGCCAGATGCCGCTAGCGACCAAGCTACGGCTGATCAAGGCCATCGCCAGACCTCAGCTCGCTTACGCCTCCGCGGTCTGGGGGTACGCTGCCCCCAGCTACCGCAAGCGACTTGCTGCTCTAGAGATGAAGCTACTCCGGATCGCCACCAATGCACCTTCCTACGTAAGGAACTCAACCTTGCGTAGAGACCTGCATTGGGATACCATCCACGAGTACATGAGGAAAAAAGCGGAGAAGACCTTCGAGAAAGCTCAGGACCACCCGAACGAGCAGCTACGATTCCTCATGGACTACGATCCGGACGAGAGGCCTCGCAACCGCAGAACCAGGTACCCCAGACCAAGGTCCCAGTTGGCACCCGCTAACTGGAACCTTGACTAGGAGACTAGGAGAATTTGCGGCTGCTCCCCCCCCCCCCCCCCACGGCGTGGATGCAGAGGACCAGGAACCACCGGGACCAGGACCCACCGGGACCAGGACCAACCAGGACCCGCCACGACCAGGACCCACCAGGACCAGGACCCTTCAGGACCAGGACCAGGAACAACATATTGGTAAGATGACTTGAAACTCTTGATTTTTCGAAAACAAGAGTTTCAAGAGAAACTAGCAGACCCTCTATCGATGATCGCTTAACGACATCGATAGAATGTGCGAGGTAAAGGGAACCAACCCGGCGTTCCCAGAGACTGAAACACATGAGGAGACGTTGTAGCAGACCGCTGGTCACGCACAACACATGGCCTACCGAGACGCTGATGAGTCGGGCCACGCGGAGGTTTAGGGTTTAGTGGGTATTAGGTGATCTCTTCAAGACCCTGGAGCCCCACACACGTCGTAGCTCGTGCTATGGTATGGTGCGTAAATGCATTCCCCCCTCGTTAAAAAAAAAAAAAAAGGTTGATCAACCGTCAGTTCAATGCTAACCGCCGGTTGAAATTATTTCGGTATTATCACCATTAGTTCAGGTCGACGTTGGCCAACTAGAAATTCGCGTCCGTTTCACAATGTTGCCTATTCTGCGGACTGTATTATAACCAATCAGAATTAAGTATTTCAATTTTCCCGCTTCGATCGGTCGCATCGTCTCATTCGACATAAGCCGGGCGTAACCTGACCTAACCTTACATTTTGTTTTGATTTGTTTACTATTGCAAATTGCAAACATTTTGTATGTGTCTATGGCTACAAAAAATAAAAGAATTGTTTATAGTGATGCAGATTGCCACCGGCTAGTGGACATTATAATTACATATAGAAACGTTATAGAGTGTAAAAAAATTGCCGCCACAACCTGGAAAGAAAAAGTAAGTAAACATGTTTTTTATTTTAGTAGATTATGTACATGTAACATGTTATGTATATTATAGAATGCCACTTGGCAGAAAATTGCCCAAATTTATAACTCTGGTACCACAGAGCCTCGAACAGCTGACCAATTACGTTGTAAATATGATAATTTAAAGAAAGACGTTCGTAAGTATGATGCACAGAAAAGGCAAAGTTCGTATAGAACTGGTGGTGGACCAACTATTGATGAGCTGAAGGCCATATTGAAGCTCCTGTATGATAAAATTAAAAGTATTATTAGCTTTTCGGTGGATGGTTTAGAGCCTAGTCAGGGTGCCAGCGACATGCTTGTAGAAAGTATGTATATGAAAAATAGTACGTATGAACTTTCTAAAAGTATTTTTTTTTGCAGGCAATATAGTTATTGAACCAGAAAGTTCTTCACATAATGAAGGAGTAGTTGCCAGTCATGAATGCAATGATCAATATATTATAGTATAGGAAGTACTTGGTAGTACACCAATCTCTCCGGATGTACAGGCAGAGGCAAAACCATATTATGTAGAAACACCTGGTAGTACATCCTATGTTTTACAAGCAGAAACAAAAAAGATAGTGTAGAAACATCTGGGAGCACATTACACTCTCAGAGCAGGCAGAAGCAAAAAAAGGTTGTGTATATAATTTTATTAAATATTTGTAATATTAGTTCATAGTTATTATATATGTGTATATATATCTGCAGTATTATTTGCAACCAGTTATTTTGTATACAGATTGGTCTGACTATACATCCAATATGTTAAAAGCGAAGCAGCATAAAATATTACAAACAAAACGGAAGAAAATTGAAAGCCAAGAAAATGAGGAGGACACTGACGACTGCAAACTAGCTATGTTTAATTTAAAAAAAGAATTGCTAGAAAAACAAGCTGTTCAAAATGATTTGTACCGCAAGATGAAAATGCAAAAGGAAGAAGAATTATATAATCTTAAAATACAAAATCAAACATTGCAAAATACAAAATTGCAACTTGAAATTGACTTGTTACAACAACAATTAGATAGGCAATGAAGTGCTTAAGAACACATATTGTTATTAAAATAAAACAAATTAATTTTTTTATTATGATTTGTATTTTATTTTTAATAATATGTAGTATATACATTGACTCGAACATAAAAAATAATAAGTACCTATCTTACCACGACTACAGTGAGTAATAATGATGTAGTCACATGACAGTGATTTTAACGCTCTTGTTCCATTAAATTCATAAAATATAGAATACACTCTTCCCTAAAATTATGGTTGTCAGGTAATATATTGTTTTCATTCACTTCTTCAATATTAATGTCTATATATGGATCTTCAATAGGGTCTGGTTCATTCATACTGCGTGCTATATTATGTAGGATAGCACATGCTATAACAACAGATCTTGCTGTCTCGAGTGATAATCTGATGCCAAGAGATAGAATTGGAAATCGTCTTTTTAGAACACCAAATAATCTTTCAATTGGATTCCGACTTCTAATTTGAGACTCATTAAATATTTGTTCTACCTCTGTTGCTGGATTGGCAATAGGTGTTATGAAGTACCTTTTTAACGCATATCCTGAATCGCCAAGAAGTACTGTGTTGCCAAACTCATGTGTTTCGAAACGAGCTTGCAACCTACTGTTATTAAATATTGTCTGATCGTGTCTAGATCCAGGCCATCGTACAACAATATCTCTGATCCATAAATCAGAATCCCCAACTACTTGCACATTAATAAAAAAATAGCCTTTTCTGTTACGAAAATATTCAGCATTATTTCCTCCTGAAAACCAACACAAGTGACATGATTGCTTAGTTAACTAAAGACTAAATTAATTACCTGGTGAAATAATTTACAATAACCCAAGGAAATCTTGCAATGTTGTAAAATTTGTTTTCTATACTCTGCATTTCTTGCTGTGTTCTGGGCATTTTTATATATTCTGGAGCTAATGTTACAATAGAGTGTATCACCTTCTTGACAACCTGGCTGGCAGTCGATTTGTGTATACCACCAAAATCACCAATTGTTTGTAGCATAGATGCTGTAGCACATAATCGTAATACCAGCAGTAACTGTTGCATTGACGTTAATGCGTGATTCCTATAAAAGGTATGTTTTACGTTATTAACATATTGGTTGATTATAGGATTAGGTATTTACTAACCTTTCTGTATTTGGGGCGATATTGTCCCTTATTCTTTCCTCCAACATAATTACGGTGTTTTTGCTAAGACGAAATCTTAATCTGAATTCATCTTCATTCCATCTGGTAAAGTGATCAACACGGGCTCTAAAATTTCTAGCAGTTCTAAAAATTCTGTTTTGTAACCTTCCTGCTAATTCATCTTCTGATGTATCAGACGAAGATTCACTGTCACTACTATCTCTCCACAGTAATTGTTCGTTTTCTGAAGACGACGATGATGACATTTTCCAGTAATGCAAAGAAAAATCAAAGAAAATACACAAATCACTCCCGACTTAACCTCAAAATGTACGACTCAACCGGTAGTTGGCATTTCAAACGAAACAAAATCCTCCGGTTGACTGAAACGTCACTGAACCGACAGTTCAACTTTCGGTTATCATTTATAATACCGAAACTATCAGTTAACCTCCGGTTCAAATTCAGCCTTCGGTGAACCGTACATTATAATACCGGGCCTTGACAGTCGAGTTAGGAGAAAAAACTGTTAATTTTAAACGATGACTAATGCCTAAGCACAAAAAGTCAGGCTTTCTGGCACAGTGATTACAAAATAGATGCTATAAATTACAAAACCATGCTACATACGTAATTCTTCTAAATATCAGGCTCAATAGTCTGAAAATTATTTTACATAAGCATAAATCGGCTTCACGTGGAACTGTGTTATTTTTTGCACATAAGTCATTTCTAGGCCATTGTCATTTTCCCTTCGAAACAAATTGCCGCACAGCACGCAGCAATTCATTGGAAGCCGTGCGTCATCTTTCCACAATATCCACACGTTTGAAACACAAGACACGACCTTTTATACGCCAATTAAGAATGGTAATCAATTAGAAATGCGTATTCGTTCATTGATATATGGATAGCAATTAATCTCTTATTAGAATTTTTTGAACGCGAGTCACATACAGGTAGATCATTATAGGTTCGGTGTTGATGGTGTTCAGGGTTGAAGCTCATTTTTATTTGACTACACCGGATATTGCGAACTCGACCCACATCAACACTGAGCATGGGCGTCCACAGGGCCCCTCCTTAGAATTGGACCCTAAAATTCCCATGTTTAACACGATTTTTTCCACAGCTTGGGAAATTTTAGGATTTGCTTCCCTCCCCGAGATTATTTGTTGCCCCCCCTCTCGTTAAATAACGTTTAGGGGCAGATACACTGTCACAAAAAGTTCTCTCATCTCTCGCAGATGATCGCCCCCTGCGAAAAGTTCCTGCACGCACCGATGACATTGAGATATCTGATATCGCATGAGATACGAAGTCGGTTAAATTATAGCAAAGAAGATTTAAGGTCACTTACTTACACAACAAATAATGTTCGCTTGACGTACGTTAAAGGGAGGATTTAGCATTTACATTTTGAAGTAGCCTGTAACAGCTGTCATCGTTCACAGAATTTAGAAAACTGAAAACGAAGTTTTCACAATTTTCTACATTTTAAAGGCTATTTTAAATATTTTTCATATTCTGACGATCTTTAATTTTAATAATTCTGAATCATTTTAGTGACATTGAATGTTTTTAGTACTGATAGGCTCTGAGAGTTTTGAACATTTTGAAAATTATGGAAATTTTGAGTCTTGGACATTATAAAAGTATTGAACATTTTTAACATCTTGTTAGTCTTGGAAAACTTCGGAAAAAACTAAGAATTTTTTAAAATTTTGGGGATCTTGAAAATTTTAAATATTCTCCAAATTTGACCACTCTCAAGGTTTATATCGTTTTGCTTTGTGGTTTGGTATTACTGCCCAAAGCAAAATGAAATTTTGCGCATTCTCTTAAAATCAACTACACATTTTTAGGGGCCGCAGAAGAGAAATCGACTTCTCTCTGCCGTTAGTCTCAACGCTGTCTTTCACAGACCATTTACAGTTGAGAAAAATGATTTTATCTTGATCCCGAAATCCAGAAGAAGGTACTTACGGCCTCAACAAATCAGTGCTTTCATGGCCCCAAAAGTGAAATCAAAACTGCTTTTTGGCTGCCTATGTTAGAATTATACACTCCGCGGTGTAACGTTTCCAAAAAAGCCTAGCAGAATTTGTACGGAAACGCAAAGACTTAATATCTATTAGTCTTACCACAATCTTTTTCTATTTCGTTATTTTCAATAATTTGTAGTATTTACCAGTAAATAAAAAGTTCCAAACGAAATGTCAGTGGATGAAGGGGGAGAGAATTTCAAGTGCATGGCACTCTAGCTCAGTGAGTTGGTGTTGGTAGGTAATCCCACATGCATGTCTGGCCAATAAAACCTCATGTCTTTGTTTCTGTAAACGTTTCAGTCACAACGTTGACCTTCTTCGGTACAATGACATATTTTATTTATCTGTCTTCCAGGTGACAGTTAGTTTGCTTTTTCTTTTCGTAATATAATAAATTCTTATACAGTGTGTTACTACAATAGACTTAAAATTTTGTAACATGCCGAGATTGTGCAAATTCATCATTCTAAATTTCAAGATAGTACCACGCAAAGACAACATATCAAAGGACCGTCTGGGGTATATACATATATATATATACACAGATATATATATCTGTTGTTATTGATGTATCCGATACTTCACCCTCGTCCATCGTCCCGAAAACACAAAATGCCCTACAGAAAACGGAAAAACCCACCCAGAACTGTTGTTGAACACAACGGTTAATTGCTTTACAATATTCGACTAAAATGCTGCAAGTGCTTTGGTTTGTATTTGAAATACTACTCCGACATCCAAAGGGAACCTTGTTGTTTGTCCTGGCATTGTCCGGTGCTGAGCACTACCCAGTTACTCCAAGTAACCAAAATGAGACACTGGAGAATTAATATGGAATAAATGTGAAGACTATAAAGTATACAAAATAATGTAAAATGTACGACAGTATGAGTAAGAGTATATAGTGATTCGCGCGAGCTCAGTTCTCCTCAAAGATTCACACGTGCATAAGTGAAAACCCAAAGAAAAACAGGCATGAACCATATTTCTATGTGATCCAGATATAAACTGGATATTTTTGTTGATTTGTGATGTTCGGTCTAGAATCTCTAATAGCCGGTATTGTATCAAAGTGCCGCTTCAAACCCTGTTTAATTGTATGATAAATAACCGCCAATCCTTCCAGGGTAGTGCTGCAAGACCACTATGTACCAATGATATACATACTATCCAAGCTCGCGCGCACACACAATCTCGCGATTGTTGTGTAACAAACAGCAGCATTGGCGGCAAGCGTGAGCAGTACCACGCCAGGCGGCACCGCTCGGCGCTGGTGAAAGGAAGGGCATCATCTCGCGAAGTCTCGGACGGACCAAGGGGCCCCGCCTAGGCCTCGGGCTACGGCGCGTTACCACTATCGCGGTACTGCTTGACGCTAACGCCGCCGCGGCCCCCGCAGAGAGCTACTACGCGCTCCAGCCGAGGTGAGTGCTGCTTGACTGGCCGCCCGCGATCACTGGCGATATTGCCAAAGCTTCGTCAAAGAAGGGAAAACTGCTACACGTAATATGCATCAATTCATTATTCAAGAATTGTGTAATGGATTTATCGTTTTCGGGCGTTTGCGCCCTTTGTAACACAACTTGATTTCAGGATGACTAGCTTTATTCTGTCTAGAAATGTACATATATTGATAGGTACTGCAAGGTACTTCGGTCATTCCTCTGCCTAGCGCAGCATTTCCGGTGAATTATATTACTTGCAATACCTAACAAGTTTCTAATAACAATACATTATGCAGTATGATCTTACCATACTACAATCGAAAAACAATGGAAAGGTAGTGCCATGAAAATAGGCACCGAATTTCATCACGAGCAAGTTTTAATGATACATGTTTTTATTTATCCACGTTCGACAGCCTTACCACACATGCGCTACCTAGAACGAGTAAAGTCGGACATCTCTGCCGCTGACAATAAACGTCAAGAATCATATCATAGCCATTATTCATTTATATTATATACATAATACTAGTGCCGATTTCTTGAGGAATCCAGCAACGCATGTCATACCAAATATTATCTCCAGGGAGAGGATACAAGTCGAATGAATGTGGGCGAGAAATAGCGATATTGTCAGACATTGTGTGTGAGACGTAGTTTTGCTGTAATTTAGAAAATTTCACTGAACACACGAAAAACATCATTTTTGCGACATCTACAGCAATTATATAATTTCTCATTTTCGTCAATAGCTATGAGCTAAGTATTCTGAAATAATGGAGACGCTGACAGTCTCAAACATGTTTTAAAGTTGTCTCGTGAAAGCACAGTGTACAGAAAGCCAATTTATATAGCGAGAGCCCCTCGTATATCTAAATAATTTGTGTACTTATATCTTATCTTTATAAACAACCCCATATCATAAATTCTTGCCCTTTAGGCATCAGTTTACATCAGCTATTACTTTAGGTTACATCTATTAGTCAATTCCTTGTAAGCTCACGTAGTCTTAGGTTTGGTATCAAAACCGTTGTTACCTGAAACGATACTTTTACTTTAAGTGAATGAAGTGTATCAAATCGCCTGTAAGACGTTTTTTAAAATCGCGAACTCGCGACGCGATAGTTACCTAAATTGCCGTGCCAAATTCTGAACTTAGAAGAAATATATGATAGCAGCAATAGTTTGTCATACGACACCGATACATCACCCGGTTTCTTCTCTTGCATTGTTTCGCTGGGCAGATAATATAAATAGCAACAGCTTGCATTAGCCAGGATATGATTTTATCGAATCAGGAGTATCGGCAACCGTGGAAGTATGAACTGCGGTATCATTCAGCGATCGGGAAATATGCGTTAGAATGTCGTGTTATCTGATAAACGTTCTCTAGCTGTATCTGTACGGTTGATATGCTAATGTACGCGGACTATAAGCTAATGCAAAGTAAGGATATGTACGAGGGAAACTCTAATATTGCTAGATATGTGGAAATATAGACGAAAAGGAGTATGACCCTTATATAAACGAAAAGTGCTGGCAGTTAAACTATCTTCTTTAAGCCGATCTAGAATAAAAAATTGGAAATTCCATCCGAAAAATGTATCAATAGTGAATAAAATATGAAATAGATGACATCCCTTTATTTCTGACATATACCGATTCCGTTAGAATACAATCGTAATCAAGACTCTAAAGATATAGATATCAGGTATTCAGTTGAAGAGATGTCTGACTTCTAGTTTCTATCAATAAAAAACATACAGTGCTTATCCCTCTCAACTTATAAACGCTATATTTTAGCCTAAAAGTAGCAGCTGGAAACATCAACGTGGTGGCTGGACGCTACCTAGCCGCCATCTTGATGTTTTCAACTATCACAATTATGCTAAGCTAT